CTGCCTAACGCTTCCAGCCGGGCGCACCCGCAGCCTGGCGCGGCACGGCGGCACGGCGCGGCGGCCCGCTAACTGTGTTCCGCCCAGCAAGGACTTACAACTGGCACCGCAAGCACTTACTGCTTGGGCTTATCGGCGCCGTGCGGAACCCGCAGCGGCACGGCACGGCACGGCCCGGCCCCGCCGAGGTGGGCCGCGGTGAATCGGGGAGGACAAGGGCAAGGGGGGCGAACAGGTAGGCAAGAACGCAGGAGCGGCAAGCCGCCTCGCTTCACGGCCTCGGCCTCGGCCTCGGCCGCCTGCACGGGGAGCGGCAGGCTGCTGCGCGTCCTCCACGGCCTCTACGGCCCCCGCGGCCTCGGCCAGCGCCGTCAAAGGGAGCGGCAGCGCGACGAGATGAAACTTTTGGGCCGCGGCGCGTGAGGAAAAGAGGCAGAACCAGCGCCAGAGCCAGAGCCAGCAGGCCGTCGCGCTGTCTCGCTCGCACTCACGGGGCCAGCCGAAGTGGCGCGAGAGAGACGGCGCAGAAAGTTTGGCGCGCGCGACCCGCTAATCCGGCCGCGAATAAGCATGCGTGTGCTGGCGGCGGGCGGTACACTGCTACAGCGCTCCGACCGGACTCGCGGGGGGTCCCGTGTGGGTGCGAGGGAGAGAGACGCACTGCCGGACGCCACGCAATCGGGGATATTTGTGGGCGGCGCAAGATTTACCGAAAGGCGGGTTAAGATAACGAGGAACTAATCGGGCAGTCGGCGGCAGTTGGACGCAGTGGCCGCCCAAAGTCAGCGAAAACGACTTCTCTGACCATTTTTGCGAGGCTACTGCTGCCAAACTAGATGCGGTCAAAGGCTTCCCGAGGCGGGGCATGAAAGAGTAGGGTCTTAGGAATACCAGAACGTTGAGGGAGGCCTTTGACCGCAGCTAGATTGAACGCAGCGGCCGCCCAAAGTCAGCAAAAACGGCTACTTTTGGAGATTCAATCATTTTTTGACCATTTTTGCGAGGCTACTGCTGCCAAACTAGATGCGGTCAAAGGCTTCCCGAGGCGGGGCATGAAAGAGTAGGGTCTTAGGAATACCAGAACGTTGAGGGAGGCCTTTGACCGCAGCTAGATTGAACGCAGCAGCCGCTTAAAGTCAGCAAAAACGGCTACTTTTGGAGATTCAATCATTTTTTGACCATTTTTGCGAGGCTACTGCTGCCAAACTAGATGCGGTCAAAGCCTTCCCGAGGCGGGGCATGAAAGAGTAGGGTCTTAGGAATACCAGAACGTTGAGGGAGGCCTTTGACCGCAGCTAGATTGAACGCAGCAGCCGCTTAAAGTCAGCAAAAACGGCTACTTTTGGAGATTCAGGGGGTGCCGCCCTGCCTTGCCGCCAAGCCAAGCTCGGCAAGCGCCATGCCCTCGGCAATGGTCGCTGACGTGCGGGCGCTACGGACGTCCATCCGAGGTGGTTGGTGGCTTAGCGCCAGCGGAAGGGGAAGGGGAAGGAAAAGGGGAGGGGGAAGGGAAGGGCGCACCGCAGCACAGCGTAGTCTGGCGGAGCACACACAGCCAGAGTGACTCGGGACGCATCTTGACTGCATGTGAGCACAGCCCGCCGCGCCTCGCCGCGCCGGGTGGGGCCCTGGTGGGGCCCGCCTGCATATGGAATGAGGGCGGAAAGAGAGGCCTCGGGCCGTCCGCCCCACCCCGCCCCACCCCGCCCCACCCCGCCCGGTGGGACTTTGCGCGGCTCTGCGAGCTCTGCAGTGCCTTATTTCTTGTGCAGACACGCCATGCGACAGAGTCACCTTCTTGCCTGCCTCGGTGCGCGGGTTGTGGCGGGCCGTGGCGTGGCAGGGCGGGGCGGGGCGGGGTGGCCCCGTCACCGTCGCCCACCCCACCCTGGCGGGCAGCCGCAGACGAGCCGCAGCCAGGACCGCATGGCAGGGCGGGGCGGGGCGGGGCAGCGCCGGCACAGCAAGGTGGCGCCGGCCGTCCCGTCGCTCCGCCCGCTCCACTGAGCCGTGCTTCCCTCGCCGACCAAGGCGGCCAAGGCTGGGCATGACGACAACGAGGACGGTTCCCGGAAACCGCCGCCCTCTCGTGACCAGCGTACCGCCCTCCAGAACGTTGCGAAAACGCGGCGAGGGCCACATCACATCGTGCGCCGCCTGCAGACTGTCTCTCTCGCACTCATGGGAGTGCGACAGAGACAGTGCGACGGAGCAGTGTTCGGGATCAGCCCGTCACTAGGGCGGGCGTTGGCGGCACCTCGACGCCGGCAAGGTGGCACACCTGCGCCGCCCGTAACGCCGGCCCGGCAGTTTGGCGCCGCGTGGTTGGCACGGTTGGCACTACACCGCAAGGCGCCGCAAGGCCGCGAGGTCGGCACCGCACCACGTGGCGCCCTGCCGCCGTGCCGCCCTGCCGCCGCCTTGCAGTCCGAGATGCCATTTCGCCCAAGTTGGGCTCCCCGCAATATTAGCGGAATTCATAACGGAGACAGGCAGCGCCGAGGAAAAGCAGCAGCAGCAGCAACAACAACAACAACAAGATCGCAGACGGAACAAACAACAACACCAAGGCGACGGCGGGGGCGCTGCTGCTCACTTTGATTTATGCCGTGCTCTAGCTTCTGATTAATTCGCGCCTCGGCGGGGGAGGGGGAGGGAAGGGGAGGGGATCTAGATTTTTGTTGAGCGCAGTCCGCGCTTTGTCCTGTGTGCTCCGCGCTGCTCCGCGCTGCTCCGCGTCGACTGCAGGACTTTATTAGGGCGACCCTCCTCATTCCACACTCTCCGTCTCCCTCGGACTCGCGGGGCGTTCCGTGGGGAGTGCGAGAGAGAGGGCGACGAAAGGGCTGCTCAGCCTGCAGTCGCGGCAGCGCGGCAGCCCCTCGGTCCCCCTCCCCGCCACGCCCCACCTTGACGTATCCCACTTGAAGGGTCCTACTTTCAGGGACGGGCTCCCACCTTGAGGCTCCCACCTACGGGCCCCACGCAGGTCCCATTCCGAGGCCCCCGTTCTGAGGGTTCCATTTCGAGAGCCCCGCCAGGCTACGCCAGGGTGCGCGAGGCCAGGCCCCCCGTTCCGTTCCCGGCCGCCACGCGGAACAGATAACCATTCGCGTAGTTCGGGCGGGCTTAGCGCGCCGAGGGCGCCGAGGGTGGCGGCGTGCGCCAGGCGTTCGCCAACGCGGACATGATGGCAGACGCTAAGGCCGCCGGAGATATGGGCCGTGGGGATGGAGGGGCTGGAGGGGCTGGAGCAGGATTCCAGGGGGCAGCCGGCACGGCTCCGCATGTAAACAGTGCAAAAACGAGCCTCATCGCATTTCCATAAGCAACACGCTCTCCCTCTCTCTCCCTCTCCCCCCGGCCGGTCCTGGGGCGAGCAGGCCCAGGCCGCGCCGCGCCGCGCCGTGTTGGAGGCGTTCGAGGCCGTGTTGCAGCCGAGCAGGCCGAGGCATCCGGGACCATTTGCCTAATCCCCGCCTACTCCAGTTAAATATTTGTGCCCTCGCCGCTTTTCCAGCGCGTTTCCGAAACGCGATCACGTCTTTCCCCCCCGAATCCTCGAATCCTCGAACCGGCAGCGCCATTGCCCGGATTAAAGATTGAAGGCGGGACCTCTGTTTCCGCAAATCGGTGCGCAGAATCTGCATTGAAAAATGAGCGCGGCGGCGGTTCCGAGGGCGGTTCCCATTCGGAGCGCCGCGTCGTCGCGCTCGCTGGGGACGGCGGGGATTTCGACCGCCAATATCGGTTTTGCAACCATCCGCGGCGCTTTCCTCTCTCTTCGCTGCATTCTTCTCTCTCGCACCCTGTGCGACGCCCAACGAGTGCGAGAGAGACGGCAGCTTTGCATAATTAATACGGCAAAGTTGTTGAAACGGGCATTAGTATCGGCGAGTGCCGCCAACCCGTTGGCCCGTTGGTGCGAGAGAGCGCGAAACTGGGCACCATTTCGCCGTTGCCATTCCGGTGCAGTGATTCAATCACCGGGAAGCACTTCATTCGCGCTTCTCGCCGCGGTGCCGCAGTGTTATTGGAATGGAATGCGTGTGGGGGCGTCGCTCCCCGCGGCCTCCGTGCGCGCGGCCAGGGCGGCGCAGGGCGCGGCACCCCGAGTGTTTGTATTGCCTTCGTTAGGGCCGCACTGGACCGCCCAACCCAAGACACACAGAGCGTGCACTGGATGTAGACGAGTTGGCGCCCCGCCTGCCGCCAGCCAGCCTGCACTCCGTGTACTCCGTGACCGGGACGGCCGGCAGGGATTGACACAGCCCCACGGCCCCACGGCCACTCCGTCCTGCGTTTTATTTCTCTCGCTCTCCCTCTCTTGTCCCGAAACACGCGCGCGGGCATCGGCCGGTCGGGCCCCGTTTTCCTCATCAGCCGTCCGTAGTAAAAAGACAAATAGCGCCGCCGGTAATTCGTTGCTGTTGACACTGGGGCACTTTACGAGGACGACGAAGTACAAAGCTGGCGAGGCCGTGGAGTCCATGGCCGTGGAGTCCGAGGCCGTGGGGTGCGAGGACGTGGAGTCCAAAGCCGCGGACTGCACTGTTATCGGCGGGGGGCGAATGACACACGGCACCGCGGCGTGAACCATGAAGTATGGCTCGAGCACGGCAGCACGGCGGGCATAAACGAAAAAACAGAAGGCTGGACGCGTTGATCATGACAGCCGAATATAAAACACAGAGCAACAAACGCCAAAACGGGTCCCCCTTTTTGCTTTTTATCGGGGTGGCCTCTGTATCGACGCTCCGACGAGGGTGCGCGCACGGGGCGCGGCGTATCGCACGCAGCCAGAGGGGCGGCACGGACAGTCTACATCGTTTCTACACCACTGTGGGGTTGGCAGTGACGTGCCCTCTGTGATTCGACTTGAAGACAGTTGCTCCGAATCACAGAGGGCGCGTCACTGCCAACCCCACAGCGGTAAGGTGTTAACGTCTGCCAAATACCCTGCTTGTCCATCCGCACTCCACTCTTGTGCTCATGTGACCCTACACCATGGGCACATTGCCTTCACTCCAGGTCCAGGCGTCCCGCAGGTCTCCTAATCACACGCAAAGGCATGCGAAGAGCGAGTGCGATGCGATGCAACCCCTGCCCGCGGATGGGGCCGTGGACGCCGCGGACCGCGAGGCCTCGGCTTCATCCTGGTGCCGTACCGCGGTGCCGCCGTTAACGGTTCCTGGCGGCCGTTTGAGGCACCGTCCACTCCACTCGCCATAGAGGTTTACGACGTGAAAAGGGCCGGCCCCAAATAAACAGGTTTACCCATAACGCGCCGCGGTGCGCGCAGAGTTTACATTTCCATCGCACATCCCGTTTTAATTTCACGCCCTGGCAGGCGCGGGGAGCGGAGGGCGTCCTAGGGCGTCCCGAGGCGCGCGCGTGCAGCAATGGCGCCCCCGGATGTGCACCGTGCACCTCCCCGCGGCGCGCCGTCAGCCAGCGTCAGCCAGCGTCAGCAGCGCGCGCTCTGGCGGCGAGAAGGCGCCAGTCCCTCACCCCTCTAGACTTTTGGCGGCAGGGTTGTGTCGGCCCGCGGTGCGGTCGCGCTGTCTCCAGGGGGCTGTGGCGTGTGGGCTTCCGGTGGCCGCGCCGTGCCGTGCCAGGGCGAGGGGAGGGAAGGGGGACGGGACTTAATCAAAACTCATTTGAATGTTCCCGCCGGGTGGCCGTGAACCACAGCAGACGCGCCCCGCGATCCCACCTTCGAAATGAACCCTGCTCCCCCTCGCGGCCGCGCTGCGCACACAAACACAACAACAGGGCTGGTGGCTGTGTGTGTGTGCGGTAGAAAAATGAGGGGAAATAGAACAGCGCCGCTGCGGCTGCTGCTGGCCGTGTCGCTATTTGACCGAGAGTGAGCCCCCCCCCCCCTCCCCCGCCGGAATGCTCCGTCGTGTTCCCGTCCCGCACGGCGGCGGTGGGGCCGCGGTTCGAACCAAAGGCATTCCGACGCAACTTTTGCGGGGACGATGTCGGTCTGATGGCGAAAAAAAAAGGAGAAGGGAGAGGGTCGACTGGAGCCAAACTCCCCTTTCCTTCTGGCTTCTTGAGGTTTATGGTGGAATGTTATTGAATAACTCCAACTTGTCCGAGCAAGAAAAGGCCAAGCTCTGCAGGATAGACCACTTCACGTGAGGGCCCTGGCAAGGCAATAAGCGCTCGCGCGCACTGACAGGCAGGAACACACACACACAACACACGGGCACACCAAATGTGACACGCGGCGCGTCCGTCCGAGTGCACACGGCGCCACCATTTTAATTCGAATTTGCGCGCGCAAGGAGACAGGCCGGCAAAAGGGGCAGACAGGCCGACGGACGGACCATGAATATGCAATACGTGCAGCATGCCGGTGTGCTCGCGTTCCACTGAGGCGCACTGCAGGGAGGAGCACTGCGGCATCAAGGTGCGCACTGCCTGCCTGGCCGCTTTCAGACGGATGCGTTTATGAGCCGCGCGGCGAGTGGAAGAGCCCCGCCTCTTTGAATCCGACTGCCATCACGGCGGACAGTCGATGGCGTTTAACAGCGGGGCAGTCAAGCGGCACCGGTCAAATGGGGCTCACCTGTAAAAGGAGCGGCCAAGTCATCCCGGCGCACCATGTTGTCGTCGCTCGCCCGGCGGCACTGTCACATGGCGCTGGCGTCACAAGCACACACAAACGCGGTCACTGCTGTCGCGCGACGGTCGAATGGGGCTGTGTTGTTTTGGCCGGTTGTTCGTGCGTCGCGTCGTGTCTCGCGGCGGCGACTTCGGGCGTGCGTTGTCGTGACACGGGGGTGCCGTCACAGCGGCGCTCGCGGCTCGACTGGCTGAGCTCTGGGCCGGGGCTGCAGCGACGCGGCGGGGCTCGGCGGGGCGTGGCGGGGCGTGGGGCACGGCTCGCACGCCGCAGTGGTGGGGGCTGGTGCGGCGCTCCTCACAGGTCTCGCAGGGCCCGGGCCAGGCTGGCGACGCCGGCGCCCTCTGTCGGCCGGCGGAGACACCCGCAGCCACCCCTTGCCGCCCGGCCCCTGCGCCCTGAGCCAACGAGGCGCTGGCGCGCGCTGGCGCTCGGTGCTTGAGGAGGGTCAGGTCGGCCGCGCCTCGGCCAGCCCACCGCAAGGGCAAGGCCGAAGGCACCGAAGGCACCGAAGGCCGGCCGAGGGAGGCTGCGGACGCAGGATGCAGACCATCAAGGCTGAACTTTCTCAACGGGCATTTGGTCTTTGGACCTTCCAGTCAAAAATGCCTTTGAAAAATCGTGTTTTGGGCCGACTTTGAGCAGCCACTGCGTCTGATCCGAGGCGGTATTTCGTCCTCCCTCAACGGGCAATTCGTCTTTGGACCTTCCTTTAGCATGCCTTTGTTACGGAGTGCGATTATCTGCCTTGGTTTGGGAGCAGTATTGCCGCAAAGTTGATCAAAACGGTCAAAAATGCCTTTAAAGTCGGTTTTGATCAACTTTCAGACTAAACTGCACCCAAACTTGGGTGGATAATCGCACTCCGTAACAAAGGCTTGCTAAAGGTAGGTCCAAAGACCAAATGCCCGCTGAGAAAGTACGAAGGACCGCCTCGGATCGGACGCAGTGGCTGCTTAAAGTCGGCCCAAAACACGATTTTTCGAAGGCATTTTTGAGTGTTTTGATCAACTTTGAGCCAATACTGCTCCCAAACTAAGGCCCATAATCGCACTCCGTAACAAAGGCATGCTAAAGGAAGGTCCAAAGACCAAATGCCCGTTGAGAAAGTACAAAGGCCCGCCTCGGATCAGACGCAGTGGCTGCTTAAAGTCGGCCCAAAACACGACGTTTTAAGCAGTTTCCGCGAATTTATCTTCCCGGCAGTGCTCGGCCTGTAGGCCAGCCACGAAACCACCGTGGCCCCAGGCGACCCCAGCCACCTCGGCGCGACCTCTCAAAGTTTTTTCGCGACCCCAAGGTTGAGAACCACTGTCATACGCCCATGCAGTGAGTGGGTTCGTTAACGGAACGAACTTGTTGCAGGTTTGATCGTGTTTCTGTTGGCGCTGTGCTTCATCTCCATGCCGCAGAGTGCCGCGCCGGATCACGGCAAGTGTTGCAGCCTCAGTGGAGTTACTTTGCAATGCCGGATTCTTTGATTTTCGCCACGGAATCCTGGAATCCTGCTGAATGAAGCACGTGCTTCTGCTCTGTGCTGCAGTGTGGGCGTCGTCGGGCGACTGCGACCTGCACGTGGCCGCCGTGTGCACCGTGTTCTGCGCGCTGGTGCTGCAACGCGGCCGCTGCGTCCTGGTGTTCGGCTACCAGCGCTGCCTGTGCGGCGACGCTCCGAACTACGAGTCGCCGGTCCGCCTGGTCCCCGATAGCGGCAGTGGCGGCGCGACCGCGGCGGCCGCGGCGTCGTCAGAGGCCACCGCCACGGCGCGGTAGCCGGCAGCAGCGCCGCCGACATGAAGGCCGCCGCCTTCGTCACCATCATGGCCACGGCCTTGTACGGGGGTAAGCGGGAGGGCGAGTGGTGTCGCTTCATGTCGGGAAACGTCAGTGACGCATGTTCCAGCCAGAGCGGACCTGTTGTGCCTCGGCGGCCCGGAGGACTGCAACTCCCGGTGCGCGCTGAGCGGCGCTCTGTCGGGCACCTGCGTGCTGTTGGCGTGCGCCTGCCTGCGCCCGCTGGACGTCTCCACGGCCCCCGCCGCCGCGGCGACCTCGGACGACATGCCCACGCCGACGAGCGAGGCAGCAGCGACGACGCCGACCACCGCCACCGCCGACCCGAAGGCCGCGACCGCGCCGCCGCGGCGGGCACACCGTCGGCGAGGCAGCAGCGGGCCGAGGAAGCACTGGCGGCGCGGCGAGCCCACCAAGGCCGGCAAGGAGGACAAGGGGAAGGACGGCGACGGGGGTCGGGGCGAGGCGGGCAGAGAAGAGAAGGACAAGGACCGGGGTGAGGTGGGGCGCGAAGAGAAGGGCAAGGACAAGGACGAGGCGGACAAGCAGGACAAGGGCGACAAGGAAAAGGACAGAAGGGAAAAGGACAAAAAGGAGAAGGGGGCCGGCGGCAAGGACAAGCCGAAAGACGACAAGGCCAAGAAGAAGAGGAAAGGGAAGAAGAAGGCGAAGGATGAGAAGGACAAGGCAGAGGCGGACAGTGTGGAGGAGGAGGACGTGGAGCAGGAGCAGGAGGAGGACGACGGCGGGGAGGTGGGCGGAGAGGAGGAAGTGGCCGAGAGGAAGGGCGGCGAGAGCGAGAGTGAGTCGGAGAGCGAGTCGCAGTGCGAGTCGGACAGCGAGACGGACGAGGACGCCGACGAGGCCGAGGACAAGGACGTGACCACTACGGTGCGAAACAAGGGCATGGACGAGACTCGCGACGGCAAAGGGAAAGAGAAGAACAAGGACAAAGACTTGTGCTGTGCAGAGTCTAACTAAAGAACATTTTGCCAGTTTGGTATATTTACAAAATGGTTGATATTTGACGCACACTAGAATGTCACTGTACAACATAAGTTATTCCTACCTAGGCTGCGGGTCGGCTGATGGCCGGATCAACGCCCTGCATTACGTCGTGTCGGCATTAACAATAATTAAAAAGTATCTAGCACGCTTGCGTCCATCTTTTTTTCTGAACCATCACACATGAACGAGGTCAGCGGCGGCCCCCTTGCCAAGGGAGTGCGTAGCCCCCACCCATGTCGGGCTTGGCGCCGGCCCTGGTGCCGGACTGGCGGAACGCGTTGGCAGGCCCCGCCACCGCCGGCAAGGCGGGGTTGTTGATGATGCCGGGGAGGTTGACCAGGCCGCTGCCCTGGGCCGGGCGTACGCGCTCCGCCAGGCTGGGGTCGCCGTCGCCGCCGCCCCAGTGCGGCGCCCTGTCCGTGGACCCAGGGCCGCCGAACAGCAGCGTACCGCCGCCGAAGTAGGGCTGCGGCTTGCCGAGGCCGGGGGCCGCGGCGCCGAGCATGGAGGGCGGCTGGACGTTGCCCGGCGCCGGCAGCGCGTACGACGGCCGCTCGCGCTCCCCCTCGAACGGCGCGGGCCCCGAGCCCAGAGGCTGCAGCGGCGGCGGCGGCTCGGCGGGGGCCAGCGGTTGCAAGCCGGCCTGAGGAGGCGAGGGGGTTGGCGCCATCAGGCCCGGTAGCGCCACCAGGGGCTGCATGGCGGGCGGCATCTTGCTCGACACTGCGTGCCCCTTGGACAATTCCCCTGCGTGCTGTGCAGAACCATCTCAAGTTAGGGAGGGTGCTGGACAGCTGTTGAATGATGCTGTGGCTTGCGACTCACCATGAACCACGGCAGCGCAGTGGAGGTATACGACGACACCGGGGTGGCGGCGTGCGCGGCGTAGGCGGCGGCCGCGGCGGACACCGAGGGCGGTGCTGTCGGCGCCGGGCCCATTGGGGGCATGAAGTTGGGCGGGCCCTGAGGCTGGCCCGGGGGCATCCCCGGCGGGTAGGGGCCCGGTGGGAACATTCCCGGAGGGCCCTGCTGCGGGTACATGGGGTACATGGGCTGCTGCGGCGCCGTGCCGCCGTACGGGGGCATCACGTAGGGCGGTATGCCGCCGCCACCACCGCCCCACGCGATGGGGATGGGCATGACGGCGTTCACGTTGTAGTTGACGTTGTAGTTGTTGTTGTTGTTGCCGCCCTCCTCGTCGCCGTCGGTTCGCGAGTGGCGGTTGTGGTGGCGCGCCTTGCCGGCCCGGCGGTCGCGACACTGGCAGCCTCCGCGGCACCGCGCCGCCACGTGGCCCGCGCGCTTGCACGCCGCCGAGCACACTTGCTGGATGCACGTCCGCCCCGACATGATGGCTGCAATGCAACAGTTGGTGCTACCACTCTGAGGGACCCAGGCGCGCCCGGCCAGCCCGGCCAACCTACTCACTGTGGTCGGTGACGTCCACCAGTTCGTCTTCCGGGATGTCCGTGGCTGCACTGGCCGCCCCGCCCGCCGCGCCCGCCGCGGTCGTCGTCCACTCCAGCGCGGCTCTGCGCACAGCAAATTACTCCGTCACTTGCGGTTCACACTCGCCGCCGCGCCAATCCGCGCCAATCCCAATGCCCAAAGCTAACTCGGCTGCCAACGTCGAAGAGTTCGACTCCGGGACCACGCACGGGATGTGGACGACGGCGGGGTCGGCCACCCCGGCCGGCGTCGCGACGTTGTACTCGACGGCCAAGTGCGAGGAGGAGGCGGCCGCCGCGGACACCATGACGGCCACCATGGCGGCCACGGTGACGCCCGGCAGGCCGGCCATGCCCTGGTGGCCCTGGTGGCCCTGGTGGCCCTGGTGGCCCTGGTGGAGGGAGCAGCGGCCTCGCGTCGCGACGGCGATGCAGTGCCGCGCAGTGCGCGGCCGTGCTGCTTCAACTGCAGTGGACAATGGCCGCCCCCTCCCCTTCCCCTCCGCCCCCCTCTCCCCGCCATCCACTCGCCGATATTGAAATCCAGCGGCCTGCACGCGCTGGCGGAAGAGGACCTGGGCGGCCATCAAGGTCGCCACCGGGAGGGTGGAAATATTGGAACAAGAAAGGAAGCGTTTTGTTTATTCGCCTAACTGACGGCGGTTGTATTTATTAGTGTGCTTAAAGCTACGTTTCTTCATGGTAACAGGGCCACCACTGCTGCCCAGGGCTACGCCAGGGCGTCGTAGTCCACGTGCTGGAGGCGGGATGCCGTGGTCTGGGGCAGGAGTCTGTTCCTGTACGCGTCGTCCTCGATGTGGCTCACGGAGGCGGACCAGTGCTGCTTGATCCACTTCTTGATGTTCTGGCGGTGCAGGCGGCGCGCGCCGCGCACGGACGGCGGGTCCGCGGGGTTCTGCGCGCGGAGGTCGAGGTGGTGCGCGCCCTCGGGGATGAGCACGGCCACCACGGAGTCGCTCATGTTGCGCACCACGCCGCCGGCAGACCACGGGTCCAGCAGGCCGTTGCTGCCGACAGAGAGGAAGAGAGAGATAGTCAGGGGGTGCGGCAGTCGGATAAGAGTCTCTCACCGGTGCGACCTTCTCCTACCTGAACACGATGTTGCTGATGCCCTTGAAGTCCCTGCCGCCGAACTCCCAGCCCGTCATGTTGAACACGGGCCGCACGCCCCAGCGCGCGAAGCAGGCGTTCGAGTAGATCGACTCGTCCCACGGGGAGCTCTCGAACATGTCCGAGCGCCCGTCCGAGCACATGGGCATGGCCATCTCGGAGCACGCCTGGAAGCAGAGGTTCGTCGTGAACAGACTGCGATCCACGGGAGGCACGTGACTGCGACTGAACTGACCTGGAAGTCCCAGCCGTTGATACCCAGCCCCGCGTCAGTGCCGTTGATGTCCAGGGCCTTGGCGGCCCCCGTGTAGTTGAAGTAGACGCTGATGCCGTTGAAGACGGCCTTGGCGAGCTGCTTCTCGTCGCTGAGCTTCTGGCTCAGGGCGTTGCACACGGCCTGCGTCAGGAGGGGGGTCACTAGGTCAAGCCGCACTCGAGGTGCCGCGGCGCGCTAAAGGACGTCCCTGTCCCAGGACTTGCAGCCGCCCGAGCGATTCCGAAAAGTCGACTCTTTCCCGGGCACGCTCTATGAGGCGACGGAGGCAGCGCGACGAAACGACTTTCCGGAATCAGCCTGCATGTCGACCCACATGCCGAGGCAGGGCTGTCATAGCCAGCCATCCCGAAATATGTGATAACGTCGGGGGAAGTTTATCTTGGGCACCATCAGCAAATGTCTCATAAAAACATAAACGACATAAACGAGAAGCGACGTCCAGCAGTAACGCTTACCTTGACAGGGTAGGCCGGCATCTTGCCCAGGAAGTTGGCCGGGTAGGGGTAGTTGGCCATGGCCACGTCGACGTAGGCGTCGCTCAGCCAGGCCACGAACTCGTTCACGTCCTCGGCGGTCTTGAGGGGCTTGCGGAGCTCGAACGTCTCCGAGAACCACTTCTTGCCCTCGTCTGCGATCGGGGAGGCGCGCGTTATTCGACCGAATGGGCGTAGCGGGGCTCCCCTCCCCACGCTACTCACCCGTCTTGGTGATGTTGCGGATGGCGCTCCAGGAGCGCTTGATGTTGCCGTCGCACTCGGCGGCCGCGGTGTGGTACACGGAGGTCACCACGTGGTTGAAGGCGTCGCAGGGGGTGAGGCCGGCGGACATGAGCACGGGGGCGGAGGCCGCGATGGCGCTGCAATCCAACAACGTCAAGTAGTAGTGGCAGAGGCCGGGGCCGGGCCGGGCCGCGCCGGGCTGGACGGCGGCCAAGGCCTCGGGGCGCTTACGCATCGCCTGGGAAATATCGCTGTCTGGCGCGGAGAATGCAAAAAGAAACAAAGTGGGCGGGCCTTGTGGAGGAGAGCCAATGGCCGATGGTTATGGATGGTCGCCCCGTAAACAAAACTAGTACATGTCTGGAATCCGACGTCTTTCGGACGTCCCGAAGAAGTCGGTTTTGGGAGCTCTTCGGGACCTCCCTAAACGTACTACAAATGAAGCTCTCTCGTACGTCGCGCGGGGACCTAGTGTGTGGTGCCAGAGTTCACCGCCAGAGCGCGCCCTGGTCGCTCGTCCCAAAGTAGTCGGTTCTTGGAGCACTTCGGGACGTCCGAAACGGTAGGTCTATGTGAGGTCTTTGGGAGGTCCCCCACCACACCAGTCGCAGCGTCCTGCGGCCATGTAGTTCCGAGTGTGTCCGCTAGAGCGCGCCTCGGGCCCACGCGATGCTCACCTGTTGTGCAGATGACAGTCGGCGTCGGCGCACTTTGGCGCGCACTGTGCTTGTGGCGTCGGATCCTTACTTCTATTTATTTTTCTGTTAACTATAGTAAATTCATTTCTCCAAAGAAAAGAAATCACGCACGAAGATGTTCAGTTCTCAGGTGCACCAATAAGAAGAATACTTCAAAGCCTGGTGCAGGCTTATTTCGTGTTTCAATCCAAATCAGAAAGTGCCGGTGTAAGTTAACCTACAATATTCTGTTACTTTGATACTCTTATTGTCAAAGTGTTTATTTTGTTCGTCATCTGATTTTATGCTTGAGAAATAGGCTCTTTGCGGAAACCTTGACCCTCTGGAGTTGCCCAAGATTCTGGAACGATAACCTGCACCACTATGCAATTACATGTGGAACAAGAACTGACTCCTGTGCTTCAGTGTCAAATTAAGTGAATTTCCTGCGACAGAGCAAAGTAAGCATGACACCTTGGAATCAGTGCTAATGGAATTTCTTTCAGTCATTTTGGCTTATTTTTTAATCAAGGGGTGTTACAGTTATGGTTGCTGTATTTTCTTTTCAGTCCAACTGAGATTCCTCTTTTAAATATTTTGTTTTTGAGTCCTGTCCACCATTTTTGTCTCCATATTTTCTGTTGTTCGTGACAAGTCCTATCGTTTGATTTTTAATTTAAAAAGGTCAGTGAATAAATACATTTTTCCTAACAGTTTATCTGTGTCATATTCACATTCCTATACGCATTCACATTCATATCCGGAACAGTGGCGCACCCTAGCGGCAGGCCATCGAACTACGACACAGGTGCGCGCTCTAGCGGTCACCTTCGGAACTACATGGCCGCAGGGCGCTGCGACGGGTGGTGGGGGACCTCCGAAAGACCTCTCACAGACCTACCGTTTCCGACGTCCCGAAGTGCTCCCGAAAGAGACGTCCTGAAATGTAGCACGTCAGTACTTCTTTCGGATGCCTTTTTTGTTTCATAAGGTACTCCTTCCGTACTACATTTTGGGATGTACAGAGCTCCGAAATGGTAGTACGACAGTACTACTTTTGATAGTAGTTTTGTTTACGGGGCGGCGTAATGCAGTCTGGCTGGCGAGCCAGTCTGCCGCCCTGGCTGCAGAGCCACGGAGGGCGCCTCGGAGGTAGGCGCCCCGTCGCACCGCCACGCCGGCTGGGCGGCCGCGACGTCGCCGCCAGGGGCTCCGCTGCCCCGCCGCCCCGCTGCCCTTACCCCGCCACGACGTTGGGGTACTTGACGCGGAACCAGGCGGACAGCATGCCACCGTAGCTGCCGCCGAACGCCACCACGGGGCTCTGCCGGGGGAAGGCCTGGCCCTTGCGCACCTCCCTGATGACGGCCACGAAGTCGGCCAGCGCCTGCTGCGCCGTCAGGTAGCCCAGGTGCTTCCGGTCCTGTGGGCGGAGACGGGAAAATCGTGACGTCATCGTTTCACTTGGCGGGGCGCAGCGAGGCGCGGGGGATGGCGTACTGTACCGAGAAGGACTTGTCGCCGAACGGCATGGACTGGCCGTAGTAGCGGTGCTCGGCGAACACGACGAGCGCGCGGAACTCGGCCGCGATGTCCCACATGAAGCCCTGGAAGCAAGCAAAGCACGCGCCCCTGTCAACACTGGCCCTGTCAGCGCTGTCTGCCGGTGTGGCGCTGCTCCACTCACGGTGTTCTGCGCGAACACGTTGATGTCGCCCTCATTGCCAGTGTAGAAGAAGATGGGCCCCGGCTTGCGCCTGTCCTTGTCCCACCACGTGTCGTTGACCAGGTAGCGCAGCCGGAAGGTCTCGTTGCCGGCGAAGCTGAAGTGGTCCACCTGCGGCCGAAACGAGGGGACACCGTGAAACCGCGTTGCGAACCGCGCCGGCTGGAGCAGCAGAAGTCACCCAAGCCGGACTTACGGGCACGGTGATGTACTTGACGTCGAACTTGTAGGCCTCCTTGGCGGAGTCGTCGTAGAACGGCACGGCGGCGGCCGCGCCACGCAGCGCGAGCGCCAGCAGCGCCAGCAGCAGCAGATGGGCGGGGAAGGCGGCCATCTGCGGTGGCTCGAGATCAGACGGGCACTGCGCGCCCAGTGCTCGCCCCGCTCGGACCGTCGCCGTCAACGCCGTGGCGACGGGCAGCGCGACCTACGCCACGCCGCGCCACGACCCGCGACCCGCCCAGAGTCAGCCAGAGATACTGTAGGCTGAAGGTCCCCGCGCGGGGCCCCATAGGCCTGGACAGACTGGCAGCCGGGCTCGGCTCTTTCCGCTTAACTCGTTCGCGAACTGATAAAGACCGTCGTCGTGGAGGAGCTCTCCGTGCTGCTGAACCCGAAAATCACTCGGCCGGGGAACGCTGGTGTCCGCGAGAAAAAGTGCCAGGGAAACAAGTGACCCCGTCAAGACGCCGCGCGCGAGACGAGAGATCCCCCAGGCGCGGAGTATCGCCACGGGTCACTTCCTTCTATCGCCGTGTCGATGCCCCGCGCGGCGGTTCATCTCGTCAGGTCCGAAAGAAACGGTCGGAAGATACTCCGCGCCCGAGTGCTGGCAGAGCGCGTGGAGTACAGTCAAGAAGAAGAACGAAGTGGGATGAGATGGCAGCCCTTAATGGTAATGGTACGCACAGGCGCCGTGGATGCAGTCCCGTCGACACGGCAGTCTGGCGGGACTGCCTACCCTGCCTTCGTAAGGGGCCGTGGCGTCTGGAGCTCGCCCTGGGCAGTCCCGCAGGGAGGCCGCTTCGACGGCTTGCTACCTTTGTTTGACATGACGTTCTCTGAGTGAGGGGTTGCCCCACTTGGTTTGGGGGCAGCGCTGCGGCAAATGGGGCGAAATGGTGACGAATGTCTGAAAAACGTGTTTTGGGCATACTTTGGGCGGCCACTGCGTCCAATCTACGGTTAGGAATAGTACTCCCTCAACGGAGTAGTATTCTGTGATGCGTCCTTTAGCATGCCTTTTCTACAGAGCGTGATTTCCCGCCTTAGTTTTGGAGCAGTGCTGCCGAAAAGTTGGTCAATGCGGCGACTAAAGTGTGCAAAACGTGAGTTTAGCTTGGGCGTCCGGTCCGACCAGGCCGCAGCCACTCGCCCTGGCCACGGCCGCCCCGGAGAAGTGCGAGTCTCAGGAGACCGTTTAGCCCAACTGCTCCCTCCCCTCCAACGCCAGCCCACAGCGCACCGCGCACGCCACTGTCGCTGACAGTTGTGGCCGGACGACGGAGGGCGGTGGGGTTGCGTCCGGCGCCGTGCCTGGCGGCCTGGCCTGGACCTGGAACCCCTGGACTCCAGTGGACGGCCAGCGGACGGCCAGGGGCTGGAGAATGAAGAGAAGTGGCAGCGCGCTAACGAGGCCCCATTCCGGGCGGGCCTTCCCCTCCCCTCCCCTCCCCGAGTGCACGGGGCTGCCTGCTGCCGACGCCCTACTTCCTTCCGATCGGATTGCATTATTTGATCCAGCGCCACAGGGCGGGGCTCCGGGCTCCGGGCTCCGGGACGACAGACACGGCGCCGGCGAGTGAGGCGGGCTGATGGCGCTCAGCGTTTCGTCGCTCTTCTGTCTCTCTCGCTCTGATGGGCGTCCCGCAGTCGCCCGCTGAAGTGCGAGTGAGACGATGCGCGTCGTCCCTTCCCTCTGCAGGCATCCCCGGAATGGCCGAACCGATTTGCCGTCCGGGTCCGGGCCGTCAGTGGTCAGGCCTTACTCTAGTGCCCAGACCCTCCCCTCCCCTCCCCTCCCCCTTCACGCTCGACGGCACAGCGCGGGCGCCAGGACGCCACTGTCGCCGGGTACAAATTTCCGCTTCGAGATGCGCCGCGCTCCCTCGCAAAGCCGGCGAAAAATACGGAGTCTGCCAGATAAATTCGGGATAAACCAGCGGTTCTCAACCTTTCTCGGCTCGCGACCCCAAATTTGTAGCCAAAAATTTCCGCGACCCCCAGGAAAAGTTTCGCGACCCCACGGGACCCCTCCTTTAGCATGCCACTGCGTCTGATCCGAGGCGGGCATTTTGCTCCCTCAACGGGCAATTGGTCTTTGGACCTTCCTTTAGCATGCCTCTGTTACGGAGTGCGATTATCAGTCTTAGTTTGGGAGCAGTATTGTCTCAAAGTTGGCCAAAACGCTCAGAAATGTCTTTAAAAAATCATGTTTTCGGTCGATTTTAAGCAGCCACTGCGTCTGATCCAAGGCGGGCATTTTGCTCCCTCAACGGGCAATTGGTCTTTGGACCTTCCTTTAGCATGCCTCTGTTACGGAGTGCGATTATCAGTCTTAGTTTGGGAGCAGTATTGTCTCAAAGTTGGCCAAAACGCTCAGAAATGTCTTTAAAAAATCATGTTTTGGGTCGATTTTAAGCAGCCACTGCGTCTGATCCAAGGCGGGCATTTTGCTCCCTCAACGGGCAATTGTTCCTTGGACCTTCCTTTAGCATGCCTCTGTTACGGAATGCGATTATCAGTCTTAGTTTCGGAGCAGTATTGTCTCAAAGTTGACCAAAACAGGCACAACGATTTTTCAAAGACATTTCTGAGCGTTTCGGCCAACTTTGAGACAATACTGCTCCCAAACTAAGACTGATAATCACACTCCGTAACAAAGGCATGCTAAAAGAAGGTCCAAAGACCAATTGCCTGTTGAGGGAGCAAAATGCCCGCCTTGGATCAGACGCAGTGGCTGCTTAAAATCGACCCAAAACATGATTTTTTAAAGACATTTCTGAGCGTTTTGGCCAACTTTGAGACAATACTGCTCCCAAACTAAGACTGATAATCGCACTCCGTAACAGAGGCATGCTAAAGGAAGGTCCAAAGACCAATTGCCCGTTGAGGGAGCAAAATGCCCGCCTCGGATCAGACGCAGTGGCTGCTTAAAATCGGCCCAAAACACAACCCCAGCTACCTCGCCGCGACCCCTTAAAATTTTTTCGCGACCCCACTTGGGGTCGCGACCCTAAGGTTGAGAACCACTGGGATAAACATTCGAGTGGAGCTGCCGCCCTACAGCAGGCCCTGTGCTTCGCTCTGTTCTCTCTCACCGACTGAAGGACTGAAGCAGCAGCAGGCGAGCCCGGGCAGTGGGCCACCCTCCGTGCGCCTCGCCTGGCCGCGCTGGTTGGGCTGCCTAACCCGACGGCGCTGCACTGCCACACCGCCGCACCGCCCTAGCGACCGTTCTAGAAGCAAGGCCAGCGCTCCTCTCTGTTGTATCGCTCTCCAACATCGCCGCTCACCGCGTGCCTGCTTACTCTCTCTCTCTCACACTCTCACTCTCTCCACCGAAAACAGAGGCGGAGACGGTCGTCGTCGTTGACGTGGTGGTCGTATCGCAGCAAGCCGGTCGCACCCGTTTACGACCAGCGACGTCACAACCTGCACGACGAACGCTCCGTCGCGGCGCTCTGTCTCTCTCGCCCCTGCGGAACGCCCCACGAGTGAGTGCGAGAGGGACAGAGCGATCCTGTTCGGAATCAGCCAGCTACTGGTGGACCGCCCACGCCCACGCCTTTCGGTGACAATGTGGTGGGACCCATGCCCTAGCCCGGAGCGGGGTGGTGCGGGGAGCATGCATTGTATTCGTATTTGTATTTACGTTTCGAAACGGCCGGCCCGGCCCGGCGCGTCACGTCGCTATCGCCGCGGAGCGAAACTTGATGAGCGGGGAGCAAACGTTTCTTCACTTTTATCGCCAGCCTGGCCACACCATTTTTTCCGGTGATCAGGAGGGGGTCTGATTAGACCGTGGATGTCAGCTGAATGATTCTGTACCAAGTGCTTGTGCGTTGGTGCCTCGACGCTGTGGCACCTGCCCGCTGCGTTCTCCGCACTGCTGGGGGTACCGGGGTCCGGCGGCGATCAATCGAACCCCGACGGGCCCGACGGCCACATTGCACCACCGCGTTTGGCGGAATCGGGGGCCGACCATCGGGAGAGCGGCCGGCCGCTCAACAGAAAGATTAGTTTCCTTTTCTTGAGCGCGAAGCGTCTTGTCTAATGTCCTGGTTTCGATTGTGCTTGATAATTGCCACTGCCCGAGGAGGGGGAGGGGGGCCTGCTGACGGAAAAACGAAGACGTCCACACTGCGCCCCAACCGGCCCCGCACCAGGCTGCCCTACTTACGGCATGGCCAGCAGCAACACAATGATGTCATTCGGGATTTCGGCCGCCTATCCGCGGCCGTACCGCCGGGCTGCGCCAATCGGAGCCATCGCTTCCGTCACGTCGTATTTATAATGATGAACCGACGGTGTGGTGTTTGGGGCAGCGCGGCCGCGACCCCGGCCAGGCAGTGCGCCGCTCCACCAAGCAGGCCTCCGGCGCGGTGGCACCCCGGACCTCCAGGGCGGCACGGCCACGCCGCGAGGCGCGAGGCGCGAGGCGCGTTGGGCAAGCAGCTCGCCCGTATCGAGCATTGCGACGGCGACAGCCACACTGTTTATTGTTTGTGTCTTTGTCCTGCGCATGGCAACCGGCCGCCTTGCCGACGCGGTCCAACGCTCACCCTATCTTGAGGCTCAATTATTGTCATCGCGCACCCGCCGACGACGGCGAGGCTCTCCCCGCCGCGGCCCCGCGCCGACACCACCGACACCACCGACACCACCCGGCCGACCCGAGTGCGACGACGTCCCAGCGCCGCCCTGGCCGTCTTGGCGTCCTCCACGCGCGTGCAGTGCAGGCGGCGCGGCTGCGGCAAGGGGCCCACGTGCACGGCACGTGGGCGGGGAGTGACCCCACACCCGCAGCGCAGCACATCGCCTGGAGAGACAGGCCGTGTCGGTATGCCCGCCATGCGTTTGACCCGGCGCTAGCCGCGCCGCCCGCCAGACGCAACCTGATGTGGCAGGGTTGCGTTGCAGCGGCGATAGCCGGGAGCCCCCCCCCCCTTTTCGCATCTGTCCAGCAAGCGTGTGTCTGTCAGCGCGGTGGACAAGCCGCCGCCAACACTGGCACGAACTGCTGCCGCCGCACTAGAACTAGAGCCCCGTGGTGGAGCGTGTCAGTCAGACTGTCTGCCCGTCCGTCTGCGCGTTCTGAGGTACCAATAGGTGGGTAGGGAAATGCCCGGGCAGGCACTTGTGCTGGT